AAGGAATGTAAATTGAGTTACAAAAAAAAAGTTTCAGGAAAAAATATATCTATTCAATGACTGCAGTATGATATGTAGCCCCAGCTAGGTGCTACTTTATAGGACGCGTAAAGTTAGACTTGTGTTCATGGAAATGTATATATCACCTGTGTTTGCTATGAAAATATTTAGATTAATTAAGGTCTTTAGTATTTCAATATAATGTGGGGGAAAACAGTTTAGAAAGCAAACATAGATACCAGAGACAGTGTGGGAGGAGAGTGGGAGATGGCAGAGGGTAAGAGATAGGGAATCAAGGATGGGGGAAATAAAAAAGCAAAACATGCAGAAAACAAGAAATGGAAGATTATTTGCTTACAATAACATGTTTGTTGATGTGCTTGATTGAGACAATATACAGTGTACTCTGGATGGAAAATCTCATTTTGTATGCTGTAATGATGTACAGTGAATGAATGCAAATAAATAAATTGAAATAAAAGTAATATAAAAATTAGAGAAAATGCAAATTATTTATTTTAGAGATTTTTGCCTTGGGGTGTGTGTGCTTGCTAGAGAGAAAAAGAGTTAGAGACAGTGAGAAGGAAAGTGAAAAATCACCCCAGGGGGCATGGCTACACCACAATCCCTTCTCCCCCTGCAATTTTGGGCACACACACACACACAGATGCCTGGTGAGTTTCAAGCCACCAGGTCCAGGACTCAAACCATGGTCAGCGATGGGGAATCCAGCAATATGAGCACTACGGCATCTGCTGGCCCCCAAAATGGAAATTTTTAACGTTTGAAAAGTCAAACTTACATCAAATGATATATTCTAAAAAGACTGTCCCTACTCCTCTATTCCATTCCCACTATAGAAAACCATGTTGTATAGCTTCTAGTTTATTTTTCTTGTGACTTTTAAAATAAAATTATATGTAAATACGGAAGATTATGTTGCATGATTGTTGTATGTTGTAAGAGAGAGAGAGAGAATATGTAAGAATATATATATTTTTTTTTAAATTAATTTTCCAGAGGGTGTGTTCACTAATCAACAAGAGACAGTGTGGTAAAATTCTCTTTTTTTCAGCCCTATTCTCTTTTTTTATTGTGGTAAAAGGCACATAACATTACCTTTACTATCCTCGCCACTTTTAAATGCACAGTTTAGTACTATTGAGTATATGTATTCGCATTGGTGTGCAACAGATCTCTAGAACTTTTTTGCCATGCTGTACTGAACCTCTGTACCCATGAATACTGATTCTCTCCTTATCTTCTTTCCTCCTAGTTCTTGATAACCACTTTTCTCCTATTTTGAATACTTTTTTTTTCCTTTAGGATTTTGCCATTGGGCATAAGTGCTCGCTGAAGGACAGAGAGACAGTGAGAGGGAAAGTGATAATTCACCCTCTGGGGGTTGGCCACAGCCCTTCTTGTCCATTCTCTTCCTGGGATTTTGGGCATGCATACACACACACCTGCCCAACTTGATTTTCAAGCTACTGGGTCCAGGACTTGAACTGTGGTTGACTTTGTGGGAGTCTAGCGCCTTAACCACTGTGCCATCTGAAGACCCCAATTTTGAATATTTTATACACTTTCTTTCAGTGGAGTAATATAATATTTGTCCTTTTGTGATTGACCTTATTTCATTTAACGTAATGTTTTCAAGGTTCACCTGTATTGTAGTATGTAACAGGACTTACTTTTTTTTTTTTTTTTTTAAGAGCGATTTTTGCTATAGAGCACGTGCACTTGCCGGAGAGACAGACAGCAAAAAATCACACCCCTCTACACCGCCCCCCCCCAGGGGATGGCCATAGTACAATCCCTTCTCCATTCTCCTCCTGAGATATTTGGGCACACATGCATTTGTGTCTGCATGAGTTTTAAGCTGCCAGGTCTGGGACTTTAATTGCAGTTGGCCATGTGGGAATCCAGCAACATAACCACTCCGTCATCTGCTGGTCTCTAGGACTTAACATTTTTAAGGATGAGTATGATTCCATTATTTGAATATAGTGCATTTTCTTCATTCATTTGTTGCAGGACACTTAGCTTGTTCCTACCTCTTGCCTGTTGAGAATAATGCTGCAATAAACATGGGTGTACAAATATCTGTTCAAGATTCTGTTTTAAGTTCTTTTAAATATGTTCCCAAAAGTAAGATTGTTTAATCACGCTAATTTTATTTGGTAAATTTTAGGGAACCTCTGTGCTGTTTGCCATAGTGGCTGCACCATCCCTCATTCTCACCAAACCTGCACAACAAGGATTTCAGCTTCTCTACATTGTCACCAACTTTTCTTGCTTCCTCTTCTTTTTAGAGAGTTCATCCTGATGAGTATGATGTGATAGGTCATTGTGTTTTTTAGTTGTATTTTCCTGATGATTAGTTGAGCATTTCTCATGTACATATTGGCCATTTGCATATCTTCTTTGGGGAAATGTCTGTTTCGTGGTTTTTTTCATTGTTGAGTTTAAGAAGCTCATTGTATATTCTCCATATTAACCTCTGGCCAGATAGTTTAAAATTAATTGTCCTTTTACTCTGTTAATTGTTTGCTTTGTCATGCAGAAGTTCTTAAGTTTGATGTGATCACATTTCTCTATTTTTATTTGCCTTGCTTGTGCTGTCAGATCAAAAAGTCATTGCCAAATTCAGTGTCCTGAAGCCTTTTCTCTGTATTTTAAAAGAACATGTATATGAGCTAATTTTTATTTTTTTCTTGCACAAATCATGTGTACTTCTGAACCTTGCTTTTTTTGTTAATGTCACAAAACATCTGGAAATTACTGCATAGAGATGAATTGTTCCATCTAGCTTTTCCTTTTTTTAAAATATATTTTGTTTTGAGAGGTTTTAGTAACTGTTTTATTCCTTTGAGTAGATTTGTTATAGTTTAATCAGGCAGTCTTAGGGATGTAGATAAATTTTTAGGTTATCTCCTAGCATTTTGCCATTAAAATAACATTGTAGTGAATGAATAGTTATGCCTGAGTTGTTTTATAATTGCAGACATGTATCTTTGGATAAATCCCTGGAAGTAGGAGTGCTGGTCATCATGCAGTTAACTGTATCTCTTTGTGTTTCTTCTGTTACTTTTTTCATTTCTTTCCACATCTCCTTACTTCTCAAATATATGAGCACTTATTTTCTACTCCAAATGTTTAAAAGGAGATTTTATCAAAATCTCTTTTGATGTCTTTTGACTTTATATATAAAACATTTTGCTAATTCTAAGTATTTGAAACAAAATAGGTGTAGCTCTAGAATCATTAATAAAGTATTAGGACCCTCAAGGATTTGAGCTAATTATGAAAGATGAAAGTTCAAATTCATGAAAAGCATGCATTTTAGAAGAAAATTGTTCTCATTAATTTATAGCAAAAAAATTAAAGTTTATGAGATTCACTTTAGAGCAAAGATATTTGTAATTAGATAACTTCTTAGCCAAAAATCGCTTCCTAGCCATTTGGATAAGATCAAGCGAGATATTTGTGTTTAGAATTTTAAATACTCTCTTCTGAATTTTTAAAAGAATTAATTAGACATGTACATATTTTAGCTTAATGTATATATGAATTTCTGCAACAAGTGCAACTGTAATAACAACTACAGCTAATATATATTGTTTACTTTGTGCTGTGTACTGTGCTCAGCAATGTTATAAATGGGGGGAGTGAAGCAGAGGAATAATAAATTATTGTTCTTTTCATACAACTCATAAGTGGGAGAGGCAAGATTTGAACCCACTCTTCAAAATAGATTTTAGCGTGACCATCAGATAGCATAATGGTTACATTGCTGGACTTCCACATAGTTGGCTGCAATTAAGCCCCTGACCTGAGATCTTAAAACTCACACTGGGTGTTTGTACATGTATGCCCAAAATCCTGAGAGGAGAATGGAGGACAAGGGATTGTGGTGTGGTCACCCCCTTGGGGTGATGTCTCACTTTCTATCTCTCTGTCTCTCTCTGTCTCTTCAGCAAGTGCACACAGCCTATACTCAAAAGCTCTCTTTTTTTTAAAAAAAATAGATTTTAGCTTTTTATGACAATGCTGTGTTATTTATATTTTTCTTTATCAAGCCAACTTTTGACTTAAGGTGTGTATGACTTTAGCTTCTGAGTCCTAACCACTATACTCTGTGTCATTCCACCAAAGTAGTATAAGACGTTTACGTAGTGGTTATTTGAACTTTGTTATCCTAAGTGATAATACAGAATTGGAATTCCAGTTATAATAACTACAGGTTTCCCACAAAACAAACCTTTCATGTACCATACGTGGCAGAATACTGAACTATGTGTACCCTTTTTTTGACTCATTAAATTATTTCTTTGTATTTTTCAGTGGATGATTCAGCACCCACACAAAGCGGCAACGTTTTTTGGGTGCATTGGAGTAGATAAATTTGGGGAAATCCTGAAGAAAAAAGCTGCTGAAGCCCATGTGGATGCTCATTACTATGAACAGAACGAGCAGCCGACAGGAACTTGTGCTGCGTGTATCACTGGTGACAACAGGTCGGTGTAATTCCACGGGAAGTGCTGTGCTCGTTGGCTGTGTAAGAATGGGTACAATCTGGGGGCCAGCAGGTGGCATAGTGGTTGAGGTGCTGGACAATCCCACATGGCTGACCATGGTTCAAGTTCTGGACCTGGTGGCTTTCTTTCTCACTTTCCCCTCTCTGACCTGTCTCTGTCTCTCTCTGGTCAAATTAAAATGTATAAATAAAATAAATAATAATAATAATTGTTAAAAAAAAAAGAATGGGTACAATCTGAACACCAGTGTGAAACTGGAATTTAGACTCCATGTTTATAATCACTTTTAATGGTCTATAAACCCTTATATTATTTTTCCTTTTTTTTTTTTGATTATTTATTTCTTCCATGTGAGGGGGACAGAGAGAAAGAAATAGAGAGACAGGCACCCCCAATAGGATTTTCTTGCTACAGTTCTAACCTCTAGCCTCAGCCCTCCAGGATCACAGCCACATGTACCTGTGCACCTCAGAACTCAAACCTGGGGCCTTTGTGGTGTCATCATCTTGGAGCAGTGGGTTACCACCGTGCCACTGCCGCTGGCCCACCCTTTTTTTTTTATATTTACTTTTATTGAACCTGCTGTTGAATTCACAAGGTATAATGGAATGAAAAGTTTGATATTATTTAGTTCATACTCTACTTTTTTATAATTAAGATCAGAAAAGGAAAATATTTCATTCAGTGTCTTCTAGCTAGCTTGTTGCTGAACTTGGATTAGAAAGAGTACTCTTTTCTCTACGTTTTAGATTATTGAATACATGAACATGCATGTGTGTGAATGTGTGTAATTTACATATATAAAATGCTACATTACCAATTTAATATGAATATGTTCATTGTAAAGCATCTCTGGGAAATAGTCATCCAACCACATGAAACAACTTCAGTCATGGGTAATATACCACTCAAGACACAGCCAAGTATATTCCTATACTTTGTTATAACTTTACTTAACACAAATTTTTTCTCGGAGCTAGGTGGCATGGTGATTAAGGCACTAGATTCCCACACAGTCAACTGCAGTTTGAGTTCCAGACCCAGCAGCTTGAAAATCACACCAGGCACATATGGGTGATTGCCAAAAATCTCAGGAGGGGAATGGAGAAGAGATTGCTGCGTGGCCATTTCCTTGGGGGATGATTTCTCACTTTCCCTCTTGCGATTTCTTTCTGTTTCTCTCCAGTGAGCACAGGTTCCTTATGGCAAAAATCTTAAAGGAAGGAAGGAAGGAAAGACGGACGGACAGACGAACTGTTTCTCTATGAACTTGAGGGATCAGCAGTTAGCCTAATGACTATGCCGCTGAACTTCCATGTAGCCAACCGCGGTTTGAGTCCCAGACCTGTGGCTTAAACTCACACCGGGCTCTTGTGCGTGCGTGCCCAAGATCCCAAGAGGAGAATGGAGGAGAAGGGATTGTGGCATGGCCATCCCCCCCTGGGGGGGGTGGGGGTGATTTTTCACTTTCTGTCTCTCTGTCTTTCTGGCGAGCGCATGCACCCTATAGCAAAAACCTCTCCAAAAAAAAAAAAAAAAAAATCTGTGAACTTGAAATACATCCCCTAGAGTCTTCTATTCTTGGTTATATTCTTTTGTAACTACATGGAGGTAGGTATTCCTTCATTGTATTCGTGCATGGCTAACATAATTACCATATCAGATTATGATTTTGCTGCTCTCCTTTGCAAAGGAAAATCAAAATAACTTTCCTAGCTCTCATTTTTTTTTAGAATTATCAAAGATTTTCTCTCGCTGTCTCTCTCTTCTCTGCCTTTTTTTTTTTTTTTAAGTTTTGCTACATGGTGTGCAGATGCCAGAGCCACAAAGAGAAAGTGAGAAATCATCCACACAAGAAATGACCATGCTGCTGTCTCTTCTCTTTTCTCTTCTCAGGATCTTGGGCATGCACAGACATATGCCCAACCTGATTTTTAAGCCTCCAGGTCCAGGACTCAGACCACGCAATGGTCATGTAGGATCTAGTGCCTTTACCTCTATGCCACGTGCTAGCCCAACAATTATCTTTTTTTTTTTTTTGAGAGGTTTTCACTATAGGGTGCGCGCACTCACTAGAAAGACAGAGAAACAGAAAGCGAGAAATCACCCCCGGGCGGAGGGATGGCCACGCCACAATCGTTTCTCTTCCATTCTCCTCTCAGGATCTTGGGCACGCACACACACGCACCTGGTGTGAGCTTAAGCCACTGAGTCCAGGACTTGAACCACGGTCAACTACATGGGAGTACAGCAACATAGATGTTACTCTAACTGCTGGTTCCAACTAGCCCAACAATTATCTTTTTTTAAAAATAGCAATTCACTAGAAATTTTGTATTCCTTATAATTGGAAATATTTAGTCTATCTTCCTCCTTTTTTGGTCTGCTTACTATTCTGTTTCCTTTCCCTTTTTCCTTCTTATTTCTCTGTATCTTCCTTTCTTGTTTTGTTTGTTTTTCGGAGGGGTTTTTGCTATAGGGCACGTGCGCTCGCCAGAGAGACAGAGACAGAAAGCGAGACATCACCCTCCCCCAGGGGGAATGGCCATGCCGCAATCCCTCTCCTCCATTCTTCTCTTGAGATATTGGGTACATACGCACACGTGCCCGGCATGAGTTTAAGCCACCAGATCCGGGACTTGAACTGTGGTCGACTGCATGGGAGTTCAGCCACATAGCCTTTACCATAACTGCTGGTCCCTGTATCTTCCTTTCTCACTTTCTTTCCTGTCTCCCCAATCCCTTTGCTCCATTCTGGTCTCTTACCCCCCTTTATTTTTTACATACCGCTTGACCTTCAACACATGTATTAAGGACTTAATGCTATTCTGGATACTGGGGATTTGTATGAATAATAGTCTTTAAATAAAAGAAATATAACTTTCAGAAATAATTAGGGTGCCAAAGCTATTTCAGATCATTCCTTTAACTTTTTTCTTTTGTGTGTAAGAGAACATTATGGTTTTTAAGATTTCAATAAATATGAGTGGTCTTCAGAAAGATCACTGAAAGTGTGAATTTTGGGGGCTGGCAGGTGGCATGGTGGTTAAGGGCACTGTACTCCCACATGGCCCACCATGGTTCGAGTACCAGACCTGACGGCTTACTTTTTTGCTTTTTCCCTCTCGCTCTTCCTCTCACTCTGTCCCTCTCTGGTCAAATTAAAATAAATCAATAAAGTTAAATCATTCTTAAAAAGATGAACTGTTGACTTTCAAAAAAAGAAAAAAGAAGAGAAGATGTGTACTTTGGACGACACTCTGCAGACTCCATGCCAGTTAGCTCCCTACCCCGTGGCCCTCCACATAGCCACAGGGAAGATGGCCTCAGGAGTGCAAGCTGCTTATGAAGTATGTTGTATTTTTTATGACATGGAAGTTAGGAAATGCTGCACATCAGAAGAAATCAAGAAAAGAAAGAAGGCTGTCATTTTTTTGTCTCAGTGTAGACAAAAAGTTTATCATTGTAGAAGAAAGCAAGGAGAGCTTGGTTGGAGATGTTGATATAACCATAACTGATCCACAAGCATTTTGTAGGTGGGAATGCTTCCTGAAAAAGATTGCTGCTAGCTTCGTGTGATGCAAGCTGTGAAACCAAGGAATCCTGAAAAGAGTTTATGTTTTTTGTTTTTTTTTGTGGGCACCAGAACTAGCACCTCTGAAAGGTAAAATCATCTTTGCAAGCTCTAAGGATGCACTCAAAGAGAAATTGCAAGCCATGAAACATGAATGTCAAGCAAATGGGCCAGAAGACCTCAATCTTGCTTATATTGCTCAAAAGCTAGGTAGATCTCTGGGCTAGCAGGTGGCATGGTGGTTAAGACACTTGGAATTCCCACATGGCTGACCATGGTTTGAGTCCCGGACTTGGTGGCTTGCTTTCTCGCTTTCCCTCTCTCTCTCTGTCTTTCTCTGGCAAAACGCATGTGAAATAATAATAATTAATTAAATAAATAATTCTTTTTTTTTAAAAAAAAAAAAAAAGCTAGATAGATCCCTAATTGTAGCTTTTGAAGGATGCCCTGTGTAGCCCAGCATTCAGTGCCACAAATCAAACGCTTCCATGTTTAAAGTTATCTTCTTGGTGTATGAGAAAAGTAAGTATTATTTAGGCCAGGGTCTCACTGATGGGAACTGTCTTGTCATCTTTTAGAGTTAGCTACATATTCTATGAACACGTGCAAATGGCCCTAAATAAATCTAAAGTCTGAAGGTTTTTTTTAAAAAAAGAAAGTATGTATTTTGAAAAAGCTATGCATAAATGTCAAATTTTTTGCACCAAAATAATATACTTTCATTCCATTTCCATGAACTTTATGGAACTTCCTTATAAAACCACCCATTATTCAAATATTGAAATATTCTTATTTAAGTATAAGAGACAGATGGTGACATGGTAGTTAAAAGTGGCTGGACCCTGCATGGCCAGCTGTACAAATTGAGTTCCAAACCTGGAAGCCTGGTAAGCATGCCAGGTACATGTGCATGCATACCCAAAATCTCGGAGGAGAAAGGATTGTGACATGGCTAACCCCTCTCAAGGGATGCTTTCTCACTTTCTCTAGTTAGTACACACACCCTGCAGCAAAATTTAAAGTGTGTGTATATGTATTTGTATTGTTTAAACCTTTGCTTATTTATCAAGCCTCCACTTGATAAACACTTGTTTAGATCTTTGCCCTTTTCAGTTTACCTAGATTAAACTGGGTCAAGTTTTGGGTCTGATACCACTCAGGCTAGCAGTGTTACTCAGACTGCTACATTACTTGGGAATGCTAAATTAATATTTTTGAAAATAGTTATGTAATGCGATTATCAAATTATGTCTCCCAGATGATTTCATTTTGTAATCCATTTTAACTAAATTTATATAATATTACCAGTATGGTTATCTATATTGTGTAGCTGATACATAGAAAGTCAGAAACTTTGGAGAAGTTCTCACTATTTAACTCATTATCCACATTTTAGAACCAAGTAGAGTTGAATAAATTGTTTTAGATAGAGCTGGAAACCACCAAAAAATCAATCCATTTGGTTAATCATGATGTGTCCTTTTTGATCCAGGTTCTCACTTTTCAAACGCAGAATCAAATACATTATGAGAGTAAGAATACTTATACTTTTATTCTGGAAAAACTAGTTTCTTATCAGAAAGTACTTTTTCTCAACTAGACCCACCTAGGAAGGTTCTGAGTTTAATTTCTGGTACCTGTCTATACATCCTGTACACAAGCAGATTGTCCGTGATCTGGGCTGGCTGAGACTTTGGAGATCCCTATCTCCCTCTCTCTCTTTCTCTCACTGAAGAAATAAGTTAAACTTTAAAAAAAACATGGTTTTATTATCAAAATAGAGTTTAGTATCTGCCTGGTACCAGGTTTTCTTTATATTTTGGAGCCAATTTTTGTCAAATTTTTCCTAATGTCATGATTACTAAAATATTTTTGTAAATTAGTACTGAATTTTTTAAAGTTTATAATATGGTTATTTCACCTAGTAACATACTTGTCCCTATACTTCTTATTTTCCTTCATTTGACTGAACATAAATAGATGTGTTCTTCAGTAGTAAATTGATATATGGATGAATCTAAATATGTTTCAGAAAAGAATGAATTTTTCTTAGAGTGTAATGAAACAAAGTGCACATGTCACATTTTGTTGTGTTGTTGTTGTTGTTGGTTGGTTGGTTTTGTAAGCCATTTAATTTAAAAAAAAGAAAATTTTTGGGGAAAAAAGGGACCAACAGATGGCATAATGAGTTTATGTCCCTGAAATCCCACGTAGTCGACCACGATTCGAGTCCCACACCTGTCAGCTTAAAACTCGCTCTAGCACGTGTGCATGCATGCCCAAAATCCCAACAGGAGAAGGGATTGAGGCATGGCCATTTCCCCAGGGGATGATTTCTCACTTTCTGTCTCTCTGGAGAGTGCACGTGGCCTGTAGCAAAAATATCTCTCTTTCAACAAAAAAAAAAAAGAGAGAGAGAGATAGAAAGAAATTGGTAAATTGTGAATTCTGGGCCATAATAAGGGTACATTTTCATTAATCTACATGTAGTAGATAATTATTTTTATCTCATTAAGTTTTCTGTTGAGCTATAAGTAAATGATCTAGGTGATGCTTATAGCAAGATTTTATTTTATTTTATTTTATTTTATTTTATTTTATTTTTTAAAGGTTTTTCCTTTAGGGCATATGCGCTTGTCAGAGAGAGACACACACATAGTGAGAGGGAAAGTGAGAAATCACTCCCCAGGCAGGATGGCCATGCTGCAATCCATTCTCCGAAAAACTCCTTGACCCACCCCACACACGTGCATCTGGTATGACTTTGAAGCTGCCTGGTCCATGACTTGAACCATGGTCAGTGATGTGAGAGTCTAGCAATATAACCGCCATACAATATGCTGGTTCCTATAGCAAGATTTTAAATGCACTGTCCTGCTTAGATTTTCCAGCTGGAGAACTGGACTAGTCCAGGGAGTTTTCATCTACAGAAATTAATCCTAATTGATTCCAGTCCTTAAAAAGTAATGGTTGGAAATTAATTCCTCATAGTAAATATGGTCTACATTTTTATGTGTGTTTTATGAAATTAATACCATACTTGGCTTTTAAAGTGTTAGATTAAATATTCAACTATTGTATGTTGGTGCATACTTTTATAAAGATATTTTCCAATCTCAAAAAAAATGATGTTTTTATTTGCATAGATTTCTTTTTGAATAATTACTTAGTAGCTTTAGCTTCACTACATTTTGGATTATTCTATTAAAAACGTAAATCTTATTTTAGTATCAAAGGATTTTTTAAATGCTAGTTTCTCAAAATACCAGATGATATTTAAAATAAGGATTAATATGTCTGTTTATCTCAAAGGCAACATAGAAGCCTCAGAAAACTCTGAAAACAAAATTAATATTTGTCTTTACTTAAAAATCAGTAATGTTAGTTTTGAAGAATTAAGACTTAAAACATTGTAAGTAAAAATATTTGCAATAAAGATTGGGACTTCACTGTGGAAATACATAACAAGTTTTGGCTATATGTAAACCCTACTTGGTTTTTCGTTGGTTGTTTTAGGTCCCTTGTAGCTAATCTTGCTGCTGCCAATTGTTATAAAAAGGAAAAACATCTTGATCTGGAGAAAAACTGGATGTTGGTGGAAAAAGCAAGAGTTTGTTATATAGCAGTGAGTATTCACCTAATTCAAATTTCTAATATATTTTAACATGATAGATTGTAGTTCTTGACTCAAATATTTCACAATAATTTTTTTTTACTTATTCTACAAATTATTTACTCATCTCAAAGCATATGTTGATTTACTTTTATAAATACAGAATATAAATATGATCTACCTATGGGTATCATAATTTCTATTATTTACCTTCAAATCTGCCTCATTTTGGATATATTATACATAAATGCTTCTCAACCAAGCTTAGAATTCTATATTAAATCAGTTTCATGGTATCTTCTGAAGCAATTATACAAACTTACATTTTATATTTTTATGTAGCTTGTGAATGATGCATGCATTGTGAGGAAAAATATTAGTATAAATATTCACTGCAAACAATTTGAGCTTATTTGCCTAAAAAATCGCCACTTAATTACTATGTATTCCATAGTAATTACTATGACACCTTTTAATTTAATATTTCAGAAACATTGATTGTAACAAATCTCTTAAATCTGTGAATGAAGGTAGCATGTAATTGGAATTATTAAGTCTTCTGACATAAAAATAATTGGTTAAGAATATACTTCTAAAACAAGACTATATTAAAAAGTCTCCTGAATTAATCACTCCATGATTACCTTGTTTTATTTAATATGAGTTAAATGTGTGTGCTGACAAATAAGTAGATACCTATGAAAAGTTAAAAGCACCTCATATGCGTATAATATCCTGCTGGTTAGAACAGCTGCTGCCACTCCATTACCTGAGCTGTGTGTAACAGCTGGTAAGACATGTAAAAAATTGATTATCTAGTAGGAACATGTTTATTGAAAATATAATTATTTCTTTCAGTCTAGTTTTAATGTCTCCTACAGCATGTTTATGTGCACGGCTGTAGCTTTATGACACTGTTATTGATTCCTCCATATAGTAGATCCTACTCCTTTATAACTGTCAAATAAATGTTTACATTGAAAAGATTAGGTAAAGAAAAGTCATGTTAGTCCTTCTGCCAGTATGGGAGAAAAAAACATTTCAAGGATTTAAGATTTTTTTCCTTTTATTATTTCTATTTTATTTTTCATGATTGTCTTATTTTTTATTTATATATTGGTTTGTGTTTTAGTAGTGTGATTCTTTAAGGAAGATATATGTACCATTTCAAAGCATCTTATATTTGAGAGTCTGATTTTTAGAGAGCACATGGTTTAAAGTTTGGCATGATTTCTGTATATTATTGAGTATGAAATATGACAGTATATTGTGATAAAAGAGTATTTTTAACTTGACAATTACAGTTCTCTATTTCAGTATATAGTAGTCAAATCCTGAATTCTTAGCCAACTTGAACAACTCACACTGTTACTGTTAATATAGTATAATGTATCTAGTCAACTCTGAGTGAATGAATGTCTTATAGAAGTACTTGCAAACAACTCATAGTTGCAGCAGTCGTATACTATAAAGAAAGCATGTAGCCAAATGTGAGTGAATGGAATTTTTCTAGTAGTATATACTATTTTTATAGGAAAGTATAGTTTGTCTGAGGCATAGAGTGATCATTTTGATCAAATTTAATAAGACGAATTTTGTTTTTGAAATTTGTGTGGCCAGAAGAAATATCAAAATGGATTCCAGTTGCAATCTCTGATAGTACCTATTACATTTCAGCTTCTATTTTAGCAGTTTCATAAAAAGAATGCTCATTCTCATTGCCAGGTGCATCTGTACTCAGCACAGACCTTGGCTTATTTTGAAATAGTTATGAAAATAGTAGACTAACATTAGGTAGCAGGGATGCTGTATATTCTTTTTTTGGGGGGGGAGAGGTTTTCGCTATTGGGCGCGTGCGCTCGACAGAGAGGCAGAGAGATAGAAAGCAAGAAATCACCCCCCAGGGGGGATGGCCACGCTGCAATCTCTTCTCCTCAAGTCTCCTCTTGGGATCCTGGGCAGGCACGCACACGTGCCCGGCGTGAGTTTAAGCCGCCGGGTCCGGGATGCAAACTGCAGTCGACTATATGGGAGTCCAGCGACATAGCCATTACGCTAACTGATGGTTCCAGATGCTGTATATTCTTGATGGACATTAAACAAATACTTATTTGACTAGCAACTAAGAGCATACTTCTAGTTCTTGAAAATCTGTGAACGCCATTAAAATCTGTGAACTCTCTGCAGCCAGTTCCCTTTGTACATTAAGCCCTGTGCAAAGGGAACTAGATTCCCATGTTTGACTTTCCCAGCCCTAGTGACTTAAAAACTACTATGGGTGCATGTGGCCAGCTTCCTGACAGGATGGAAAAATGGAGGAAAAGGCATTGTGGCTTGACCAGGTTCTATTGGAGCTTGCTATCTTGCACACACACACACACACACACACACACACTCATACTCATGCATTAGAGAGAGAGAGAAAAAAAAAACCTGTGGCCTTTCTTCTGAAATGTAATGTAATTTCCACCAAACATTCTGCAGTTCTTATAAATCTTATTTCATTTGAATTCAGCTCATTCTGAAGTTGAGGTGTAACTAGTGCAGTCTTTTCTTAGTATATACTCAAGGCTCAAATCCAGTGAGTTCTCCCATACTTTCAGGTTCAGTAAGGCCAGCAGTCATGTTATTTTTGTAAACAAATGAGGTTTAACAAGCTGAAATTCTGAGACCTTTTCATTGCAATATACTCTTGATTTAAAGAGGAACCTCAGTTTCTCCAACAAATTTCCATAACTAAGACATCTGTCTGCATTACATAAAATGGCCTAGATGTGCATAGTCAGCTCCGCTTTACACTATTTTAGAAAGTAGCAATAGTCATAAGCATTTTTTTAAAAAATTGAAAACTTGATTCAGCCATGCTGATGCACAGAGAGTGCCGCCACTTAGGAAGTTGGAATCTGTGTGGAAAGTGCAGGTTCAATCCCCAGGCTAACCTGAACATGCTGGACATAGTTGCACATATGACACAACAAGCCCCTGCCAAAAATAACCATCTCTTTTTCTTTCTCTCATTTTCTCTTCTCCCCCTTCCTTTCTCTTATTAAGGAAAGGAAGAAAAAAATTCAAAACCTTAACCACTTTCTCCACTATATAATGCATTGAATGAGTTCACATCAAAAACATTTCTGATTAAAAAGCTAAATTGGGGGCCAGCAGGTGGCATAGTAGTTAAGGTACAGAACTCCCACATGGCTGATCTCCATTAGAGTCCCAGATGTGGCAACTTGAAAATCATGTCAGGTGTGAGTACATGTATGACCATTTTGAAGGAATTGTGGTGCAGCCATCCCACCATGGGGTGATTTCTTTCTTTCCCTTTCTCTCTCTCTCTCTCTCTTTCTCTCTTTCTTCAAGCACACACACATGCTCTATAGCAGAAAATGTAAAAAAGACATACACACATGCTCTATAGCAGAAAATGTAAAAAAAATAAAAATAAAAAAGGAAAAGAAATAGGGGCCAGCAGGTAATATTGTGGTTGAGGTACTAGATTCCCACAAGGCTGACCACGATTCTAGTCCAGGACCAGCATATTGAAAATCATGATGGGCACATATGAGTGCATGCCCAAGAGCCCCAGAGGAGAATGGTCTCCAGAGGAGAATCACAGTGTGGCCATCCTCTCCCTTAGTGGTTGGGGGTGGGCGTGATTTCTCACTTTCCTTCTCTCTCTTTCCACAACAAGCTCATGCACCCTATGACAAAACCTTAAAAAAAATAATTAAAATAAATTGCAATTGAATATAGATAAACCAGTATTCTGTGTTAGTTTAAATAAAGTGTTGGGGGACTAGGACAACTAAAGAGTTTCTGCCTAGACTTCACTGTCTGACCTCAAGATCTAGACTGGCCAATCAAAAGTCTTTTCTACATTTGAGCTCTGAGAGGCCCTTTTCAGGGACTAGGATAACTGAAGATTTTTTGCCCAGACTTTAACCTCCTGACCCTAAGATCTAGGACAGTAGTCCTCAATTCCCATGGAATCTGTTGAGCAAAAAGAGGAAAATGGAACTGCAGAGAGATTGCAGAACACCTCCTTCTGCATGCCTCTAAATGCTCAAATTTAAAGGAAAAACATCAGATCATCAGATGACCACCACTGCTGAGGTACAATAAATATGAGAAGCCAAGAAAATATCTCTCCCCCAGGGACCAGTAGTTAGCGTAATGGCTATGTTGCTGAACTACCATGTAGCTGGCCGCGGTTCGAGAGGCCCCCGAAAGCATATATTCTTACTGGAGAGAGACAGAGACAGAGAATGTAAGAAAAAACCCCTGTGGTAGTTAGTCACACTGCAATTCCTTCTCCATTTTTCCCTCCTCTTGGGATTTGAGGCATGCACACACAGCCACCTCGGGTTTCTCTCAAGTCACTGACTCTGGAACTTGAATAGCAAGGTTGTCTGTGTGAGATCTAGCCACCTTAACCACCATTCCATAGGCTGGCCCAGCATGTATATTTTTCACCAAGGCTCAAATATTTCCTAAATTAAGTCTCTAAGATTACATTTAGAAAAGATTAGGACATTGAAGCCATTCATTTTTCTTATCCATGTATGTCCTTTTTCTGTCAGTATTAGTCCACTATGAAAAATGAGAAAATTAGCACTCAGTTTTTTATCCTGTGTTTCAAATTTTGGTAGTTACAGTTTTGGGTTTTTTCGTTTGTTTGCTTGTTTTAACATTTGCATTTTGTCCTATAAACATATGCCTTGTAGCCTTAATTCTGTATTTAAATGAGCTATATGCGTACCATCAATTATTTGATCAATAATTTCTTTCTTATTTATTTTGATTATCCCTCAATTTGCTACATTTGCCATCAAACATTTTTTCCCTGGGAAGGGCTCAGAGTGCCTATTTCTTTTTATTATTATTATTTTTTAATGGAGGAAGTGTTAGGCTTACAAGAGAGAAAAAGAAAGAACCCCACAGTGGGGTATAGGCATGCTGTAACCATCTTTTCCTCTGTTCCTCCTTCCTGTTAGAACTTTGGTCATGTAGGA